TCAGAAAAATGCCGGAGAACTTTATTATATAAGGGATTGCTTAAACTATCGTAAGATAATCGTAAATTATTGATCATGGCAGTAACAGTGAGTGCTATTGATTAAAATTAGCATTAAAAATTTAAAGTTCAGCACTACTACAGTCAGGGCGGAAGTGGTGTAGTGACAAGTGGCGCGCTTACCACGCGAGCGGTCCGGGGATCAAATCCTGGGTCGTGAGTCGCCCGGGCCAACCAAGCCTTCCATCCCTCCGGGGTCGGTTAATTGGTACCAGACTTGTCTGGGAGGATAAAAACACTGACTTGTACATCGGCTGGCCCCCGCAAGTCATTGTATAGGCCACATCGCATTCAAACGCCACTACGAATGTACAAATGGAAGTAGAATGCGTGCCGCATCCCAAAAGGGATTGATCAACGGCAAATGCTTTATCCTTTATCCTTTACCGTACTAAGTCCGAAGCTTGAGTAGGCGTGCCAAAGGAATTGACGTGCACTTGATAGAAGTTGCTTTGCTGATATCCAGCGCTGTATGTACGTTGGAAGCAGCTTACCACACATAGCTTCTATCAAGTGCGGATGACACGCCTACCCCAACTTTCGGGATCGTCTGTAAGACAGATCTAGCGCTGGAGCTGCAGAGGGATAGCGAAGGGGGTGGAGAGAGCCCAAACGCTAACAAGGGAGGTCGTTCAGGGTGTGCCAAGCTTTTTCAAAATGGTTTCTTGCATGACATTGGGGCACATATGGGGACCACAGAAGCATGGTTCATTTTTCCTGAACGGCTCTCTGAATACCAGAAAAGGGGTCCCTAGTTCGATTCCTCGTGGTGACAAGTTTTTGCATTTCGTGTTGACGTTTCCAAATTCGCGCAAAATGGAGTTAGCATGAATAATTAGTACCAAATTCATGATTAGGAACGTCAGTAACCCTTACAAATAGACTTTGATTGAAAAACTGGTGAAAAAGGTGTGACTAGGGACCCCCTTTTCTGGTATTCAGAGGGCCGTTCAGGAAAAATTAACCATGGTTCTGTGGTTCCCGCATGTGCCTCTATATCATGCAAAAGACCGTTTTGAAAAAGCTTGGCACACCCTGAAAGACCTTCCTTGTAAGAAGCTTGTGCCTCATTACTACCAGCTTCGGCCACACCTACAACGTGACTCATGATCTTGAGGGTTCGAATGCAGTTCAGGTAGCGATGCACAGAATACATGCCAACAGTTTTCAGGAGTTTTTTCACTTCGTTGGTATCTCCCAAAGCACGTGAACGTCGCTGTAAGATGCCGCGCAGGTGCATAACATGCGGTGTCCGCAACCTCTCATCCGCTACGCTGCCTTGCCTATTCTGACTTCTACCGTACTCAGTACCAGAGTGAATATCTGATGGCAGCCAGCAGCTAGCGCAGCAGATTGCAAAATGAAGGCTTGATTGGAGGATGTCAGCAAATAGGTGTGGCAGAAGGGAAACTTACCTAGAGAAAGGAAGTGCCTCGGTAGCAACACGCGTCGCGAAGTTTTCGCACTTCTCAAAAGAGAACCAGCGTCTGGGTGCAGACCATATACCACAATGACACGATCTTTAATTAAACCTAGTTAATAGTGGCCCAGGCCATTCTTGTGAAACTAGTTAATAGTTTTTAATAGTGGTAGCTGATTTTTCCGTAAATGATAGTTGTAATTCCGACACTGAACAGATACAACTAGGCAGGCTAAAACCCATTTCATTGGCAAAGAACGCTCTACATTCGTGAATGCCGGTCACCACTGTGTTGGTGTATAGTCTGCACCCGACGCTTTCTGCGTTTTTGAAAGGGGGATATGTCCCAGCGCCGCAACGTAAACATCACCATCGTGCGGCAGCGCCACCGACCGCTACGACACTCGCCGAAGTTCTCTACGCCGTTTAGCCAGAATGAGTTAATAGCGTCCGAGAGAGACTCTATTGACCAATGAGAGTCGCACCAACGCGGAAATCAATTGGCAAGGAAATGGTGCAATTTCTTGGGTTTTGAGCGGTTTCTCTAGACTTTTTCATCATCGCGGCGCGACTGACGACCTCTTTAATAATTCTTATGAGCTGCCTTCTAGTCTCGAACTCCGCCTCTAAGTTTGGTGTTTTCGGATTCGTTTCCTTTTTCTTTATCACCGTTTTTTTGTAATCCTATCTTCATTTTCATGTACAACAGTTGAACCAGATTCGTCTTGTGTATTTTAAATAAAGTGGGCAATGCAGATTTGACAGAGTTAGCTTGACTTGAGTAGAATTCCAAGTTTTCCCCCGGCCTCCATCAACCCATGTGTATATTTAAAATGTGCCACGCTCTCCTATCCTTCGGAATGTGCTTCTTCTTGTTTTGGTCTCAGAGGCTGGGTGCTCCATGTCCTTAATGGAGGAGGGGGGGGGGAGAGAGAGGACATTCAAAACAGGGGCGATGGAGGATGAGACTAGGACTAGGCCCAGCAAAGAGATGAAACGCCAGGGAGAGCACGAATTGCTCACATACTCTTCCAGGATCCCTATCCCCTCGTATAATGAGAGCACGAATTGCTCACATACTCTTCCAGGATCCCTTCCCCTCCCTAGGGCTTAGTCCCAAGCCAGCAATTGGCTCACTTACTTGGATGTCTCCCTCCCCCAAGGAAGCGCCCGAGGAAGCGCCCAGAGCTTAACTGAGTTCAGGTTTAGTTTAGTTTTAACTAACTGAAATATGACACTTTAAATAAATCAATTTTAGACGGGATTCGGTGCTTTCTGTGATTTCGTTTAGCGACACGAATCTCCATAGCTACCACTGAACGATTCTCGAAACTTTTTCCGGTTGCTTCCGGCAGCAGCACCGATGAATGACGCCCATTATCTGAATGATGTATTGCCTAACCGAAGAATTTATTTCTAAAGCACTATTTGCTGCCGTGTTCTGCTAAGGCACCCGAAACGTTCTCAACGAGGGAGTTTTACCCATCTTCTTTTCCTGTGATTCTTGAGTCAAATCCTCGTAATTCCCTGAGCTTCCTTAGCTTCCACAAATGGGTTCTCTTACTGGTACAGTGCCTGCATCCTCCATTGCATGCTAATGGGATTAAATGCCTAAAAACGACTTGTAATTTTTATATACGCCATGACTCGAGTGATTTTGTGAGGTGGACGGAGCATGTGGAGCTTAGGTTAAGACGCGATACGTTGTCGAAGGAACGCTCGTTTCCCTCTTTTTTATCACCGCAACTCACATTTCGTTTCTTTTACGATATACAGGGGGGGGGGCAAAAAATGTCACTTTGCCTATGGCGCATATCATCAAACTTTTCGTCGCAAAGGATGCCGCTGTTATTGGGAGTTATACGGCTTACATTTAGATGTCCCCCCATAAGCAGAATCAGGCCCACCTTCGCTGCCTTCACCGTCTCCAGAATATGACGTCATCTGTCATCACCGTCGAGCTCAAGGAGGCCTACCATAATCGCTCCATTCTGAAGCTGCTACATAATTTCTTCAATCGGATAACTGGTGAATGGCTTCTAGAGACACTAGCTCTGACTATGCAAATGGCTTTTGACCAGCGTTTCAGAGACGTCGTAATCGTCTATGGTTTCTCGACGACCTCGTTGAGCTCGTATGTTTCCGTGGGAAAATCTTCTGATGTCGTCGGTGTAGAAAGCCCTAATTTTTTTGATAGAATAGAATGTGCTCTTCAATATGCAATTGAGCTCATTCGGTTTGGTTTTGGCAAAGTGTAATTAAGACCTGTCCACGAAACGAGCTAACTTTTGTTACAGTGTTTAGAAAAGCTTTCCGTGAACATGAATCTTGTCATCTGCAGATTTTACGGGCCCTGATGGTGAGTAAGTCAGGTCGGAGTAAGGTTTTGCCACCGCAAACCGCTGTGTGCCATTCCTCCCCTCTTTGAGTCTTCGATAAAAATTACCATAAGAATTCCTCCTCACGAGCGGTTCTACTCGTGGCATCATTTCGGATCGCTGCAGAGCACGATTTAGCAGCAGACAGGTTTAGCGTGGACTCGAATGTTCTCGCAAAATCGTGCCCGACTTCAGCATTTCTTTTCCACTATTGTTTTCCTATCATTTTAGTTGAATCTGAATTTCTCATGATTTAAAAACTTGCGTTTATACTCTTACAAATCCAACATGTCGAAGTAATTGAAACAATGCAATTCACTGTCGCCTGTTCTAAAAACAATGTCTCGCATGCCGTCGCAGTTTTGATCAGGCCCGTGTGATGACAAATGTTTGGAACCATTAAGAACATAACAATTTATTCAAAGATATAGAACGATTTCTGGGCATCACCCAGACTAAAAGATGATGGAAATCAAGAAATAGGGCATAGTTGTTGTGTGATAGCGAGCCAAGACCTCATCGTGATTTTACAATTGTTGAAACAAGACAATTACTACAATCTTTAAATACCTACAATTTTCAAACAAAAACCACGTCAATGAATAACTTAAAGTACAAAGTGGATGAGGCTTGGTCACTCCATGCCGCCTGGCTACCGCCGATGTTGTGGCGGTGCAAAAACTAATTGGTTTAATTACTGTTGGATTCTGCTGTACGGTAGCCCAGCGTACGGTTAGAGCTGTTCCATAGATAAACTGATGTCAATTGTAACAGGGTTCGTCGTTTTTTCTGATCTAGTAGAATAAGTAAATGATGATGGAAGCTGGATGACAGTTGATGCCCAAGAAATTGTATTGAGGAGTAGAAGACTGGAGATCGCCCACTGAAATGATCATGACTTGAATGGGCTCACGAAAAAACGTCCGACCAACCCTTACTTTTTTGTTGCGGAGATTATAAAAAAGAAAACCCTTGACAAAAAAGTGTTTTCCAAACTCACATCTAAGCTTCGGACTCCTTGGCACCGTTTCCGTTGCCACCACGTCCGCGCCCTCCACGTCCACGACCTCCACGTCCTCTGCGTCCTCTTCCACGTCCTCCTTCTCCTCCATTCACTGCGTCAGCCTAATGAACCACAATTACTCAATGGCAACGAAGTAATAATAGATCAAATAATAGAATGCTTCCTACTTGCTGTCCCTCAGCGGACGCATCCTCGTGATTGTTTGCAGGTGCATATGAGCCACCACGTCCGCCGCCAGAACGGAAACCGCGACCGCGATATCCACGACCGCGCCCTCCACGGAAACGACGTTGGCCACCCTGAACAATTATAAATTTGGAAACACAATACATAAGATCGCCGGAGTTGATCCAAATTTTATTCAGTCTCTGAAGTCCTAAGTTAAAATACTTTTTCTGTAGTAAAACATAAAAACAACGTTGAACTCTACCTATTAATCCTTATTCAACAAAAAAAAAACCCTCCTTCACTATGACGATCAAAAGCAAATAGATTCATTAACAAAAGCTTCACTTTTTCACATACGATTTACGTAAACAAATATATATATATATATAATATATAAAAAATTGTTACCTCCTCCGGTCTATCTGCCTCATGGTCATTGGTGTATCCTTCTTCATGACCTTCACCACCAGCAGGAGCCCCGCGACGACTGCTTCGGAAGAAATTCCTGCGTCTAAAGCGACGCCCTCCACGCTCCGAATTGCGGTCAGCTGCGTACTAAAAAGACTTTCGTTACAATCGAGAATCGATTCAGCTCTTTGCGCTCACGTCATTTTTTACTGTCTGCAGAAACATGGGATCAAGACTCCTCCCTTGCAAAACTTTACCAATCACGTCTCCCATGCAATCCTTTTTTTACATTGTAGATTTCGGTACAGCCAAGTGTCTAACACAGCCTATTTCATTGCCAATACGTTATGCTTCTATGCTGCAGTTTATAAACCTTCAAATCAAGGAGACCCTTCTCATACCTAAAGCATCAAATTCGGATGAGTTGTGTCGAACAATCTCGAAAGCACGCGACAAAGTCACTAGAGAACAACCCACTGAGGATCGCCGTTATGAGTGCACCTACGTAGGATTTTGTTATCATTTTTTATCGTAACCAATAATCTACCAACACTCACTATGCAAAAGTATGATATACTCAGGGTCCAAAAAAGCTTACTGATCAGTTTGTAATGTAACATACTGTAATCAAACATTACTATTCTTTTCCACGTGGTGGCGAACTGCGCACGATGCAGCACCCGGTCCACAATAGGTTAAACAAGCTCAGCTCATGATGGCTAATCTAAGCTAATGAAAGAACTACGACGTGGAAGGTAATTCAAACACGCGCGGGTTAGTGAAGCCAAGGAGCAGGCAAGTTCAGACAACTCTTGAGGACAAACCCGTCCTTCATTTCAATAGAAGGGAGGGAATCCTTGTTCAAGGGCTCCAACGGCATTTTGCTTTGTTTCACTTCATTTCCAATCAACTCGGTTTCCACAATTTCATTATAGACCGCTATTACCTCACCGATTTGATCTGGGATTGTTGCTTGGGATTTGAAGCAAGCATAGCAACGGGATTCAGGAAACCCAATCCTTCTTAACCAGAATCCCTCATTTATGTGTTTCGGTAAACACTGCTTGCTATTAATTAGATCACCAAGGAAGAGAAGAAATGTTCAGTACGTATCCAAAACAAATGAAGGAAGCCTCAAGAATCAAAGGACGTATTCGTTTAAGAAACATCCAAGAGTAACTCACTTTTGATCCCTGCACAGGCCCACCATCCTTAGCGGTCACGTTCGAGGCTTCTGGTCCCTTTGCACCCTCGACAACATCAAACATAACCTGGAAAGGAACATTCCAGATTAGTAGCGCCTCGTTTCTTTCCATTTGTTTATCCAAGAATTTGATACCTCCTCTCCATCTCCGAGGCTTCGAAGGAACTTGTTGGGATTATTGTTGGCAATAGCTGTTTGATGGACAAAGATGTCTTCATTGGTGTCGGTGCGGTTGATAAATCCATAACCATTCTTCACGTTAAACCACTTCACCACACCGGACACGCCCTTTGCTACGACCTATGAAAATTTATGATAATGAATTTCACTGGCAAGTGTATCCTGCAGAGGAACCTCCAAGAAATGAAACATGCAAGGGTGGATAAAGCCCGATGTCCAAATCTGCTCCGATACTCAAAACGATCGTTGTCCAGGTTGAGCCCCAGCTCTACATATTACAACGTTACATCATGAACAAAAGATGTTTGAGGTTAGGTCAGCTTTTGTGTCCTGCTGCGCGCAGAATGTTTGCGCAGTAGAAACGAATGTCCGACACCAAGGTGCTTTGTGTACTGTCAAAAAAAACACTGTGCCTAAATTTCAGTGATACTCGGGTTCAACGAATAACATAAAGGCAGTGATCATGATGGCCAGTGGGTGTCCCGTTCCGGTGACGTCATTGTTGGAAGAACGTTAATAAGTGCTCCCAACCACATCGTTAGCGTGTCCACAATGACGTTCAATGACGCCATTAGAATCGTACGGCTCTCCAAACATTGAGATTACTACCTCCAATAGTCATACTGAATTTCATTCAGAAGAAAAAACTGCAAAAATGAATGGATTCATCACTTTCGGTCACCTTTTTAGTTTGTTGGGGTCGCCACTCCAATAGTTTCTGCCGTTATTCATTTACCGAAATGGAAGGGCCACAGGACGGTGATTTTCCAGTTACAGCTTATCGCGTACAAGCAACAACAAATTTTCGGAAAAGGAGAAGACCCGGAACGAAACCCGCTCCTCCTGCTCAAGAGTTTTGCTTAGGCTCTCTCGGCCATTCACGACCTCAGAAATAATATCTTGCGGTATGCTGTTACGGATCAATGAAGGCCCGTCTTTCAGATTCCGGAAGCGTACCATTTCTCGAAATGATGCTTTGCCGTCAAAACTCCTGGTGGCTGATGCATCAGCTACCTGCGCACGCCAAGAGTGCAATACGCTCCTGCCATCACCGGCGTTAGAATCGCGCTCCACGCTTCGCAGGCGATTCTTGTTCTTACGATTAGAGGGAACTTGGTTTACATGGAACTCACAGAGTTCGGCGCTTAAGCGCTTTCACGTGCATACAACATAAGGCGCACGCGACAACGTAACTACAAACTCGTACTCGTGCAGTGGAACGCTCGTACTGATTCACCTATGTTTGTATCATCAGAGTTGAAATGAAAATGTTTTAGCATACTGTTTCAGCAAAATAGTAAATGCCATCTTACGAGCCAACCCTTTTCGTAGCTACGGTAGCAGCAACTTTCAGCCAGCTCAAGGTAGACTTTAGAAAGATAATTCCGTAACTCTGCAGCAATATTGGCTGAACTGAGCCAATATTAAAGTCGCACTCAGTGAACCAGCTGATTTTGCTGTGGGACGTTTCCAACTGCTGTTAGCGTAACGAAGAGAAATGACACATCACATTAACAAAACAAAGCCTTGCTTCAAGAGTTCGCCAGGAGAAGATTTCACGAGTAACTGTACTGAAAAAAAAATACTCCCTCCACGGGCTTCTCACTGTTAGCGGGCTGCTCAGTTTTTTCCGCGCTCGGCTTCTCGACGACTTCCTGAAATTGGGTTTAAATGTAAGTAGCGTCAAAAGCTACAGTCTACCGTTATTAGTACTCTAAGCATGGCATAAAACATAAAACGAATAAGAACAAACTCAGTTTTTTTTTTTCCGAAGTGAGAGAGCAGTTCGGAGAATCGTGCCGGGCACTGCTCCCCCTTTACAAGACGCAATAAGTCTCACATGATCCACTAAGAGCATTCCGAATTAATTTTCGTACAGCCTCAAGCGGATGCCGAGATTTTCAGTAGTTTTGAATAATGGACTGCCCGCCACTCACTGCCAAGCAACTCACCACAATTAAAATTGAATTACATAGTATGGCAAATGCCACACGGTTCATGAAGAACCAAAATATAATCAAGGCATGAATCCCAACTTACGACAAAATTGGTTTGGAACTCGTAAAGGGAATGTTTTGAGATTCAAGTTGTTTGGAAAATAGACATGATGAACGCATCGTTTTGTACTCCTTCTGACTAGTAAAGGACGCCATTCGTTACGGGTCCCACTGCCTCCTGCTACAGTGAACCCTTCAATGTGGAGCGGGGAATCCGTGAGCCAGGGGCAGTGTCGCCAGTCTAGGGGGGTGGGGGGTGAGGGCAGACACTTGACATGCGTGAGAAGCTGGAATGTTCGAATTCAACCGCGATCACATGGGATCCCCGCGGGTTAAGGCAGTGGGTCCCGCAACGAATGGCGCCCTATACTAGTCAGTAGGAGTACAAAATGATCACTCCCTATAATAGCATGGCGCTGAGCAACTCAAATATTTAGCAGATTTCTAAATACGAAGTCCTCCAGTACCCATTCTAATAGAACAACTAACATAATATATATGAAAACATATTTGAGTGACAACACATCCCATAAATATTCCAATCAATCGTGGATTATTCTCACGCGCGGCCACTCAATATTTCAACTAACGACAAGGATTCCGTGTTGTAAACGCAAACATGTCGGAAGTCCTGTGCTGACCAAATATTGGGTTGTCCCCATAATTCCTGTCCGATTTTTGATCAAATTCAAATTTCTTCAAGTCAATTAGTGTCATTACGAAATATGTTGGTATGTCAAAGAGTGCATCTAGACCGTTAGCCAGGACATTTTGGAAGGTCAAACCCGCATCGGAATAACTGAGTAGAAGTCGAAATAGATCAATAGCAATAACGAACGATTATGCTTTATGATCCTCAAATAGACGCTGTTGCAAGGAGGACACTAGAGAAGATCAGCGCTGTGTTTGGCTCAGTCTCTGCTACTGATCGGTCACTGAGCTGGAGGTTCGGTCGCAATGGCAAAGACAATACGAGCTGTGAAAATCAGCCTCATCCTGGGCCTCCACTCACTTTCGATGAGGACCCCTTGCGCCATGGATTGGAAGTGCACACGGACGCTACTACCAGGGTATTGTAGCAGACACCTGGGCGCAGCCGATGCACCAGCACACGCCATCAGGATGAAGTGTGGCAGCAGAATGAAGACTTGATGGAAATGTGTCACCAACTAGCCATGACCGAAATGCAGTCTAACGCCTCGGGGGGGGGGGATGCATTCCTATGACCCTCATTAGCCACAACCGTTCCTAGTTTGATCACTTTAGTGGGGATAGTCATGTGTTCACTACGACAATAACCGCAGGCATTTCCTCGATGGCTACCCCAGCCAGTGCTCTCCGAACTCCACACAAAAATGGCCAACTTCCAGTCAGAGAATATGCTTGTTTGATTTGTTAGATGAGTGGTGTCTTCCGATTTCACTAGCTGTTAGTGCATAGCGCGACAAGTACTCTGGTGAAAGACATTGAAGACAACTCCCTAGGGTTTGCCGCCAAAAGTGGAGAAACCAAACGTTCGCAAAAACCCCTTTCTCTGGATAGCGCACGACTCAGCAAAAAAAAATCAATTGCAAATCAACTCGCCACATTCTGAGTAGAATGGCAGAACCAACGATACTATGGTCCCCTCGTAAGCTCTGGCATCACTCCATCGGCACTCTATCTCAATATCTACCGTTGATGCGGTCACGCGAGAGAGAAAAGGTCACTAAATAAAACCACTCCAAAAACGACCTTGCTGAATTCTTCAGCTCATAGCTTCACCCATTCTAGGAGGGAAGCATCCAAAGGTTCCCTGGCGAATGGATGCATATCGTTGAATATGATAATGGTTACATTTTTGGTGAGTTGGTCTCAGAGGTAGATAAAACTCGATGGAGGAAAGTATCGAAATTCGGACAGGAATTATGGGACAACCCAAAAAGATCGCGGATTCATGTGGTTGCCACGAAGAAAAATATCTTCCTAGGCCCCTGCCGGTACTTATCGGTGCTATGAAAACCTTCGTGCTGTGTGAAGGCATTTACCAAGCTGCTCAATCTACTTTCCAAAGTTAGAGCAGTCAATAAGAAGGAGGAGAAAGGAGAAAATACTAACGTAACAATACGTTTTTTATAAACTTTCCTCAGCGATTCCTACCACAGATTGTCAGAAAAATTTTCGGCAAAAGAGCTGAGCAGTCCCCGCTATTTTATGCGCACGAAAAAAGTTCGACCGAATCTCAACTCGTAGATGCACTACGTAGATTCCATTAATTCCAGACATTGAAACACTGTTTGAATTGTATCAGATTGAAATTTCCACTAGTAGCATACATTTCAAAATAAACAAGAGTTCAACAGCTTCTACCAAAAATTGCATCTTCTAAGCAAAAAGAGAACGTGTCATCGCCGAACACGGTCGATAAACGGTAAAGCGTTGAAAATTCATAACAATATAATTACCGTGCAACAAAAGTGCACAAAAGTCGACAAGTTGTTCATAACACATGTTCATAAACATGACTTGTGATCTTAAAAGCCGCGCTCGAAAGCGGGGCAATAATTCACCCCGAAGCTCTGACAAAAATCAAAAGCATAACAATATTGCCAATTTGAGGGTTGTTTGCTCTCGATTGAACGAGCAAAGCATCAAGATCTCTTTGGAAAAACGCCGAACGACTCAACGTAAGGGCCATTTATGAAAAAAATTATTCTTCAGAAGCTAAAAAGTGATAGTGTAAAATGCACGCAAATCTAGGAAGCTATCCATCAAACATAAGTGACGGGAATAAAAATATGCTAAGATAATGCTATCTGGCGAGATTTGCTGTCAGAATCATCTGTACTAGCATGAGTCTTCCGAAACCCTATTCCGTATATTTAAACGCTGCCGATACTGATGCCCTCCGCAGCCATTTTCCAACTGCGTCCTGACATGATAAGAGAAATTTCTCAAAGGGATCAAAGATGTGTTACGCCTAACGTAACACGCAGAGTAAGAAAATGTACTTCGAAAGAACCAATAAAACGCACAAGCCGCAACAGTCTTTGGGGTGGAAATTCCAAATTACATAGAGAAACCAGATAAAAAAATAAAAGTACATCCAGCTAAGTGATAAGCAAAGATCTAACAGGGTACTAATTGGGAACAATCTCGTTCCATAACTCTGAGTAACCCATTCTATGCTTCCTTGACCGACTTTTGTTTAACTCACCTCTCAATCGAGAGAATATCTCCGAGGCCGTACCATATCCCTCTCGGGGAGAAGAAAAACCACTAAACATCAATTGTTTTAAGACAACTGTTCTCTTATACTTCCGCACATGTTTGTCGTTTACATAAACACCTATCATCACATTTCAAAATATGCATTTTCTCAGGGCAATTATTGTTGGTAGGGATAGGAGATTTGAAGGGATTTTCCAATCCCATGATTTACATGAAGTTTTTTGGCGCAATGTGGCTCGGGGGGGGGGGGGGCACCTCGCAACATCGCGTCAAAATCACGGAAACGCTCCGTTTTAGGACTAAGCTTTTGAAGAGGAGAGGAACTCCGGTGTACGGAAGCAATTTTCGTATTCTCCGGAGTTCGTCCCTGCTGTTTAGGCTTAGTCCTAGATGACTTTTCTCAGAGTGCCCCCCGAGCCACATTGCGCCGTTTTTTTTTGCGAAAAATTACCGTAGGACTCACGGAATTCTTATTGTCGGTCATGTCGGTGTCGTTCAACGCTCAGATGTTACCAGTTGGTAGTTGCGATTTGACACGGCCGTGCGCACTCCCGCCGACGCGATGTTCTGCGCTGAAGAAAGCAGGACATTCCATAAAGGCAAAAGCAGAAAAAGACATCGAAACACCACGAGAAAATCTTCACAGAAGTACATCTATCGGAGCATAAGGAAGGTCGAATGGCATCGCCTTATTCGGCGGCCGAATGAAGATGGAAGCCAAAGCGATAAGATAGAGACCGGTGATGACAATCAATCGTGGAACGTCAATCAAATGAAGAAATTTAAAAAAAGGACGATATTTCAGCTCACTAAGCCGAAATTTGGTGGTCTTACTTGGCTTGTCTTCGCGTTTTTCAACAGATTTCACAGTTAGTACCCGAGACTGTTTCAATGTGAGGTTTTACAGGAGAAATTTCGGACGGGAGGTAAGCGCAGTGAGGTTCGCGTGAGGGTGGGCGAGAATCGCAGCCGCGATGGTTCGGGGCAGCGTCGTGGGCGGGACTACTGGCGGGACGGCGAATCGATCAGGAACACACGGCTATACAAAGGGCACAAGTAGCCGGGCCGGGGCGCATCAATCAATCCCGGACCTCTCGGGCACGAACTCTACGCCAGATGCAAACGCCGTTCACCATCGTGATGTCCCAGAAAGCGCAAGGCCGTGGGTCTCAGGACTTCTGTCAACCGTGAGGCTTGGCGGTTCAGCGTTTTGTAGTGATGTCTGGGAGCTCTCACAAGTGCACACTATCACAGCATCTCCTCTTTCTTTATCTCTTCAAAAGGCTTAGTCCCAATAAGACACAAAGTGTGTGCTTTTCCAGCTACGCTCTCACCCTTTGGTTGACAGAAGCCTTGTAACCAAGGCCGTGGGTTACCCGTCGCTCTGGACCTGCATGGGTGCAAAATTCCGTGAAGCACTATCAGTCACGAGACCCGTTGTTGTTGCAGCAGGTGGTGATAAATGGGTGTTGGGGTTGTTGAGGCGATGCCCGGATGGATAACCAAAGGGCAATCATCGCCCAATTATCCCAACTCATCAATGAAGCAAAAAATCCATTGATTTCTCCTCCCAGTAAGAGGAAGTGGGTCTATTCCAGTTAGGGTAGGGGCATCATGATGCAGTTTCTCAGCGAATAGCGTTAACGTCAAA